GCAACAATGAATGAATGGAATTCCAAAATCTCTGTAGATGTTCATTGAAATGAAAAATAAACAACCTAAAAAAAAATCCTCTGAAAACCTGGTATTTAAGGTTGAAATCTGGAGGTTGTGAGTAAATGAGTCACAACTATTAGGAAGAAGAATGGTCTAGGCTTGGAAAGAGGCCCCATGGTAGGAATATGCCCAGTACTTGAAGAAACCAGAAGTACCTGGCTTGGAGTAAGGAAGAGGAAAGCATGTAATAGAGTAGAAGAAGTAAAAAAATCATAGTGGTACACATCGTGTGAGGACTTGTAGATACCATTCTAAGAACACTATAATTACTCTTAGGAATCTCTTGAAGATTTTGAGTGGAGAAGTGACATTATTTGTGTGGCTCACTTCTGTTGCTAATGAAAATGGATTTCTAAGGTCATGAATACCATGAACCACTTAGGATACTCTTACGGTAATTCTCATGAGAGATAGTGGATATAGTGTAATGGTAGAATTAGAGGGAAATGTTTGGATTCTGGATTTAATTTAGAATCAACAGGACTCACTTACAGACCAAACTGAGATATGAGAGAAGTAGAACAGGGTTGATTGAACAGTTAAAAAGAACAGACTATCCTCTAACTGAAATGTGAATCCTTGTAGAAGAACAGGTTTGATAGGAAATTATTAGGAGTTTGAGATGCCTATTGGGCACCCATATAGATATGTGGGTCTTGATGGATATAAAAAATTTAGAAGTTATCAGTGTACTGATGGTATTTAAAACCATGAAATCAATTAGATTAAGAGATGAGAGAAGATGCTAGGCATGAGCTGTGGAGCATTTCATCAGGGTTTGAGAAAATAAGAAGGAACCAGCAAAGGAGACTGAGAAGGAATGACTGTTTAATTAGCAAAACAAGAAAACGAAAATTACTGCCATCATTGGAGCAAGTATTGTTTTGAAACTTTGTCTCAAATACTGTGGGCATGTTGTTAGAAGGGACCAGTTCTTGGAGAAAATACCATCGTTCTTGGAAAGGTAGAGGGTAAGCAAAAGATAGATTGACACAGTGAATGTAGCAGAGTTCTTGAGTATATCAGAGATGATGAAGATGGCACAGGAGAGGCAAGGGTTCAGATCCGTTTTTCATAGGGTTGTTGTATATTGTAGACTCGATGACACCTGACAGCAGCAGGTTTTTTTGAAAAGCCAGGTGAACAAAATGTTTCAAGAGGTAGAGATTGAAAGAGTATGTAATACAAATATGTAAATAAAAAATACTATGAAATACAAGAGAGAACATAAAAAAAGACAAGCAAAATTTCTTAGGGATTATTTTCTAAAGAGATTTCATTTAGACTGCATTTTGAAGAATGTTGTTGTTGTTGTTATGTCCTCTCGAGTC